GGAGGGTGGAAGAAGGTGGCCTAGGTAACATTCTCTGGATACCTTAGGCATTCTTTTTTTTGTTTGTTTTTCCCTTCCCCACCCAGGGGTCAGATGGCACAATCTGGGCACTGAGGAGCTCACCCTGAGGGCCGCGACGGCTCAACCCAAGCCGAGGGCCGAGGGCAGAAGGCAGCCCCCCCACACACCCCGGGCAGAGGGCCGCGATGGCTTGCCCCGAGCCGGGGGCCGAAGATTCTCATTTTTAAATTGTGACTTTAACAAAATTTTACAGAAAAGTTTTCATTCATTCATTGATACACATTTTCTCTTTCTTCTTCCTTTTATGCTCCCTCAGTTCACTTTTGTAATTCAATTCTTGTTCCAGATTGTTAATTGTCATACATATAATGGCTAATCATACATTTATTTCAGATTATCCTTTGCTCCATCTGTTCCAGTGAGATGTTCATTATTTATCCATTCATTTCCTGCTCCACTCACCACTATGTATCAATCACATTTTCAAACAGTAGTGTTAATGCAGTATTTGTCCTTTGTGACTAAGACATTTCACTCAGCATAATGTCCTCCAGATTCACCATGCAGTGTGGTTTCTTTGTGTAGTTATTCATTGTTTTTTAATGATGCATACAATCTAATTATGTGAATGCACCACAGTTTTTCTACACATCGGTTTGCTGATGGACAGTTGGGCTGCTTCTGTCTCTTCACTATTGTAAATAATGCAGCAATAAACATGCATGTGCATACATCTATTTGCCTCATAGCTCTGGTTTCCTTAGAATATATCTCCAGTAGGGGGATTGCTTGGTCAAATGGTATTTCGATTTCCAATTTTTTGAAAAAGCACCAGAATGCCTCCCATAGTGGTTGCAGTCATTTCACGTTCCCACCAGTAGGAAATAAGAATTCTGATCTCTGCACATCCTCTCCAGCATTTGTTGTTTGCTGCCTTCTTGAAATTTGCTATTATTGTTGATGTGAGATGAAATCTCACTGATAGGCAGGGATTTTTAACACTTCTTGATGTCTTTTATGGCCATCTGAATTTCTTGTTTGGTGAAGTGACTATTAATATAGAGTGCCAATTTTTGTGATTGGGTTGTACCTTATTTCTTTTTTGACACAGTGATCACACCACTGCCACCCCAACCATTGGGCATTAGGTGCCCAGTGATAGATATCATTACTGATGTCAGATTAATCCTGGCTTCAAGAGACTATTAGAAAAATGTCTGTGTGTTAGTGAATATTTGACTGGGTTGATAAGAACAAACTATAGCTAACATTAAGAAGAATGGGAACCCCAGAACACTTAATTATGTTCATATAAAACATATACCTAGACCAAGAAGCTGTTGTCTAAACAGAGCAAGGGAGCACTGCATCATTTAAAATCAGGAAAGATGTGTGTCGAAGCTGTATCCTTTGCACATATCCATTCAATACGTATGCAGAGAAAATCATTCAAGAAGCTGAACTCTATGCAGAAGAATGTGGCATCAGGAGCAGAGGAAGATTTATCAACAACATGTATTATGCAGAAGTGACTAGTGCAGAATATTAAAGTGTGGATTACATCTGAACATCAAGAAGACAAAAACACCATTGAACTGATAAGCAACTTTATAATAGATGGAGAAAATATTGAAGTTGTCAATTATTTCACCTTACTTGGATGCACAATCAACACCCTTGGACCACCATTCAGGTAATCGGGAGACATATCACATTGAGCAAGTCCTTTTTCATGGACCTCTTCAAATTATTGAGGAATATTATTGATATTGAGGAAATTATTGATATAACTTTGAAGACTAAGGTACATCTGATTCAAGCCACAGTCTTTTCCATGACTTATTATGAATCTGGGATCTGGACAATGAATAAGGATGACAGAAGAAGAATTGATGCCCTTGGTCTACAGTGATGGAGAAAAGTACTGAATATGCCACAAACTGTGTAAAGAGTTAAACAGAGATGTCTTGGAGACGGTACAGCCAGAATGCTCCTTGAATGCAAAGATGACAAAGCTCTGTCCTACATACTTTGGCCATGTTGTTAGGAGAGGCTATTCCTTGGACAGGGACACAATGCTAAAGAGAGAAAGTCTCTCACAAAATGATTGACACATGACTGCAGCAAAGAGCCCAAGTGTGCCAGAAATTGTGAGAAGGGCACAGATAGGACAGGTTTCAGATTTTTTGTTCATAGGGCTGCTTTGAGTTGTAGTAGATAGCACCTAAGAACAACTGGAGCAGACCAGTCATTGCATTGCCTTTTCTGCTATTTTTCACTTGGTTTTTAAATCTGCATATCTTTTTACTTGGAGTTTTGATGTCGTAGTGTGTCTTGTGTTTTCCTGCTAACTAAAATGTCTGTGATTTGAATTCACAAGTTGCCCTGTGGGAGTAAGATGAGCAATTTTCTCCCATGAAGCTTGAAAACCTGATGGAGGTCTCTTATATGTGTCAGAATGGGATGGATGACTTAGTCCATAGGGAGTTGCGCTCTAACCTAAATGCCAATTTGTGTCCATCATTAGCTCCTGTAGATAATGGAAAAATCTCCTCTCATGCAAAAGACCACTGGCAGGTCAGGTTTGTGTTGAGATGGCTACGAGCTGAGTGCACTAAAATCTGGGATATCTCCATTTGTCACTAGAGGGCCCTCT